GTAGAGGTTTGCTGGACTTTAACCCAAACGGGAAATGCCCTGACTTCCACGGCAGTGACAGAATCAAGGCCAACACACAGAAACATGAACAAAGGGACCCGTCTTATTCTGTGCATTCATTCCAAATTATCCCTTCTCAACTAGCCTTTCTTACTGAATCCCTTCCAGTCCCCTTCACTTTTTTTTTTTTTTTAAGGTTTTTGCCATAGAGAGACAGAAAGAGGGAAAGTGAGAAATCATCTCCCAGGTGATTTGGCCACACCGTAACCCCCTCTCCTCCTGGGACCTTAGGTGTACATGCACACATGCCCAGTGTGACCCCCAAGCCACGAGATCCAGGACTCAAACTGCAGTCAGCCACGTGGGAATCCAGCACCACCGGCTGCCCCCAACTTCACTCTTAGACGTTTTTTTGTTTTTGTTTGCTTTTTTTTATGCATTGGGATTGGCCTACAATAAAATGCAGGTAGAGTACTACTTCCAGGTCAATCATGGTTGGGGAATCCCCCCTTTTTTTATGATGCAATGGCATTTCAAGACTGCCTGGGGACTGGTGAGAAACCGATGTGCAAGGTCCACAAGAGAGTACAGTATTCGCGAGTACTGCAGAGCTTAAAAATCGCCCGCACCGCACGTGCACTCAGCTGCGCTTTGCTTTGTGGAAAAGCCACTAAACTGCTGTGGTGAACTTACACTGGGGCACTTCTGTTGTGACACCTCTGAATGGGAGGACAGGTCTGTAGATGCGGTGTAACAGTGAGAAAGAAAAACCTGCAAAAGGGTTAGGGATGAGAAAGAACAAAACCCAGGTTATTAAATCATGGGGATTCATATGGGAGAAGAAATTTGGGACACTCACATTAAGAACAATGTTTTGGGGACCAGCAGTTAGCGTAATGGCTATGTCGCTAGACTCCCACGTAGTTGGCCATGGTTCGAGTCCTGGACCTGGTGGCTTAAAACTCACACCGGGCACGTGTGTGTGCATGCCCAAGATCCAGAGAGGAGAATGGAGGAGAAGGGATTGCGGCATGGCCGTCCCCCCTGGGGGGTGATTTCTTGCTTTCTCTCTCTCTGTCTCTGTCTGGTGAGTGAATACCCCTATAGCAAAAACCTCTCAAAAAAAAAAAAAAAAAACAGTATTTTGTTTTGTTTTTGGAGAGATTTCTGTTATAGGACACATGCACTCACCAGGGAGACAGACAGAAAGTGAGAAATCACCTCCCAGGGGGGATAGCCACGCTGGAATCCCTCCTTTTCCATTCTCCTCCTGGAGAATCCCTTCTTTTCCATTCTCCTCCTGGGATCTTGGCACGCACCCACACAAGCCCAGTGTGAGTTTTAAAGCCGCTGGTTGTGGGACTTGAACCACAGTCAGCCATGAGGGAGTCCAGTGACATAACCGCCATGCCATCATCGGCTGGCCCCTAAGAACAGTGTTTTATTCTGACAGCATCCTTATTCGAAGTTTGCAGTACCCCAGATCTTCTGCACCAAGTGCTGTTCTGTGACAGCCATGACACTAATCACCTGGGGTTCCATCATTCACCTCAGGTTAGAGGATACAATCCCCAACAGGACTGCCCTCCCATCAGTGCACTTGGTGGGGAGGGGCCCCAAGCCACTTGTACTTGCCAGGAGGTTACCACAACCAACCTCAAGTTCAACAGTTCCCCAGAAACCACAGAATTCAGCACAGTGCCGCGCAATTACAGTTTTATTATGAAGGGTACGGATCAAATTAAGAGAATCTGGGAGGGCCTCAAACACGGCGCTTCCGTGCCCTCCTCTCGTGGAATCAGGGCAAACCTCTGTCCCCGCACATCAACACGCTCGCCAACAAGGAAGCTACACTGAGCTTCAGTGTCCCGAGCTTTTAGTAGGGTTTCATTTATATACGTATGAGTGAATTATGGGTGACTAAAGTCAGTCTCCAGCCCCTCACCTCTTCTTCCCCAGAGGTCAGGCTACCTCAAAACCCCAATCCTCTAATCACATGGGTGGTCTTTCTAGTGACCAGCCCCGGTTCTGAGCCACCTCATCTCTTAGCATAAACTCAGGTGTGATCCACGGGGCAGTCATATTACGTGGAAAATCTCAAGGATTTAAAGTCTCCCCTACCAACCCCCAGGAACCAGAGACAAAGGCCAACATTCTTTGTTACAGGATAAGCTCAAATCCACATCGCTTGCAACTCTAGCCCCAATTCAAACAAGGATAAAATCCACTGAACAGGACCCATTGCCAGCCTGGGCTGTTTTTTATTTCCCTTTTAAACTTTTTTTTTTTTTTATTACAGAACAATTTAAATATATACAATGGTAGAGGAATAAACTAATGAACCCTCACATTCCATCCCTGTTCCACTGTCTGTGTAATAGTCAACACTCGCTTCTACTCCCGCCCCTTCTCCCTACCCTCACCCCCCTTATCCTCAGTGTCCAAAGCACAGCCCAGACACCCGATCAGTCTAAAAGTCCTTTAGCAAAAGCTTCCAGAGGCAGTGCTGCAGCCACGGGGAGCCTCCGGTGGGCCACGGGTTTGCTGAAATCTCAACCCCTGAGTGGGGCCTGGGCAAGCAGAGGCCCCTGGGCAGTAGCCCGTTGAGGTGGATGCTTTGTCTGTTGACTCTAGCGTGACGGACAAGGAACGTTTTCTACCCGCACTGAGATGTAAGAAGGAACGCCACACACCACTTTAGGTCACGCCCGAAGTTGCAGAGGCGTGTAGGCCAGCTCTGGTTCTGTCTGCGGTTGTGACTATCTCCTTACATAATCAGGTCTAAAGAGTATTTTTTAAAATTTATAAAAGAAATAATAGCTCCAATACTCCTCATCAATTAAAGTCAATAGTCTGAAATAAAGTAAAAGATAACATTTCAATACTAGTTACAGATCACAGATAGATTTCAGAGTCATTAAAAACAGAAATAATCAGCTGATCAATTCTGAATAATACAGGGACCAGCAGTTGGCATAAGGGCTATGTCGCTGGACTCCCATGTAGTCAACTGCGGTTCGAGTCCCGGTTTAAACTGGCCGGGAGCGTGTGCGTGCATGCCCAAGATCCCAAGAGGAAAATGGAGAAGGTATTGCGGCACGGCCATCCCCTCTGGTAGGTGATTTCTGTCTTTCTGGCGAGCACACACACTCTATAGCAAAAAAAAAAAAAAAACTCAAAAAAAATTTTTTTTGAGTAACACATACTTGACCCTGATCTCTGGTTAATCATGCCCGAGGGACTGAGGCAAGCCCTGGAATCTGGGTCTAGGATAGTGTTTCATGTTTCTGAGAATTTCTGATACTCCCCCAAGATACCAGGGTTCTGCTCTCACATGTGCAATGAGGCATCTCCTCTGTGATGGAATGGCAAGACCGGTGGACAGGGTCACCCACTACCTTCCCATATGACATAGTCTGCAAAGTGAGAGAAGGCAAAGGGATACAGAGGTCCTGCCCACTCTGGAACTCCAGGGTTGTGCAGCCACCCTGCAAGGCGAGGTAACCATTGCCCACTGAATGGCTCAGACCTCAGGGCGCACTCTTCAGTCTGCAACTCCAAAGCACCTGGTGCAGGGCTCGGCCTTGGTTACCCACTAGACTCTCCTAACAGTGACTCACGCTCAGGGAGGAGCCCTCTCTGCTGCCCCCTTTCTGCAGAAGAGAAGCACAGCAGTAACCGTGCTCTCACCTTTGGCGTTCTACTCCTGTAAGCCTAGCTGTTTCCCAAGTACGAATTGGCTTCAGACAAGGCTTCTGCTTCAGAAGATCAGTGACGATGCTTCTGACCATTTTCGAAAGCAGAGAAGAATCACCAAAGCACTCTTCTTCCAAGCAGTGAAGGAAGAAAGTTCTTAAAGACCACATGTCACCTATGGCAGGGACATTGTCCCTTCAAAGATCATCTCCCTCCTAAGGAATTGAAAGTCCTTGATGGGAGATTAGACAGATCTTACATCTGTCAGGAATACCAAGTGCTCTGAGCATAATTAGAGCACCCTGGAATTCCAGCACAAGGCCTGAGATGCATTAAATTTTCAAATATCCATAGCAAAAGGTCTGGGATTACCACTTCCCCAGTGGTGACCTCTTTTCAGACTATAGCAAGCCTGAGCACAACCCTCAGCTTAGAAAAATGCTGCTGGGCTTGGTTCTCTACAAGAGGGTACATTCCTCACTTTCAGGACAGGAACTTACAACCTGCCAGCATCAGGATATAAGGAACTTGGGGAAACATCAGCAATCCATTCACTCCTGCCACTGTGGACTGGGTTATTTTCACTGCACAAAAACACTGCAGGGAAAACAGCACCAGCATTCCACTCACTCCTGCCCCTGAACACTGGGTTATTTTCACTGCACAGAAACACTGCTGGGAAAACAGCTGCTGGACTGACCCCGCTTAGCTTTGCTGTCTCCCTGGCCCTTCAAGTCTTCCTGACTCTAGCCCAGTCAATGTGAGCATCTGGGATTGACTCAAACAAGGAAGACAGCAGAAGAGTCTAGAGCAGACAGACATCTGACTCCTGCAAGGGTCAGTGCTGGGTCTACAGCCTGTGGCCAGGGATGATCACAAATGTTGCTGATTCCCACGGGGTCGACCAGAAGGCCCTTTTGGCTGTAAGCAGTCACCCCAGCAGGTGATCCAGTATAGTCTCTGGGGCATGGCCTGTCTGCATGAGAGCTGGCTTCAGCTACCTGGTACAGTGGCATATGTGCCAGCCAGGCCAGTATCATGGGGAGACTATGCCTGGGACTGTTAGACAAGAACCTAACAATGACAAAGCCACCATGCTGCTGCCAACCCAATCAGGGTCCTTCTTGCCCACCCCGTAGGGTCTCAATGCCTCACCCCATAGCCTCAGCTACGGGAAGCAAGACCTCGAGCCAGAGTCTTGATCAAGGTACCTCTCATGCCATTTGGCTGTGGGAGGGATTTCCAGCCAAACTGGACCTGGGTCACCTTGACCTTGAATTATAATCTCAGCACATGCTCATCCATCATGGTTTGAAGCATTAAAATGTTTATGTTCAAAGAAACAGTTTTAAATCAATGGGGTAATGTAATGGGGTGAGCAGAACAGGAAGGGAAGCAGGGCTGTTTTTCAGTGAGGGAAAAGGACACACTTCTTTGGGAAACTCTGGTCTGACTAGAGACTTGCTGGGGGTGTTCTCTCAAGTACAGATAATAACCAGGAGGCTGAGCCCCAACCCGTGGGTGTGGACGGTGCCTAATATTAAAGTTCAATGACTTTGAAATTTAAAAAAAAAAATTGTTTAGTGAGTAATCACCAAGATCTGAAGGTTGTCCATGACAGCAAAGGGATTTCACCAAGTGGCTAAAGAAGAACCTACAGTGGCTGCAGATTTTCTATAAGAGAAAGGGGTGCTAATGTCATTACTCCCCAGTGCTCAGCAGCCTGGAGATCTCCCAGAACAGTGGGAGGGGAGGTGGCACCAGGAGGCAGAAATGCCTCACCCACAACACAACCTCTCCTACCCCTTTCCTGGCCAAATCCCTCCTCTTACCCATCTCCCTCCTCACCCATAAATCCGCCTCCCATCCTCCTAACCCCTGGGACTCTCAAGGAAGTTCTTCCAAGAAAACTCCATCTACAGCACTTTCCCTAGAGTCCTGGACACCCCACAGGCCAAGTGTCCATGCCTGCCTACTTGGGGGGGCAGATGGAGAGCGTGGCACCAGCAGAGAATACCCAGAAGGCTGGGTACACAGCTTCGGTAAAGTCTACCTTGAACTTATACATCAGGTGGACCTTGTCGGCTACAGCAAAGAAGATGACAAAGCCATGGTCACAGTTAAGAAGCACCCCGACCCGCGTGGTCTTGGAGGGGGGCAGAGTTTTCTCCACATTGTTGTGCCAGGCAGAGATCTTGGTATTGAACCACTCCACGCACCAGGAGGAGCTGTTGCGTCCGAGCCGGCTCTCAGGGCCGTGCCGTTCCATGCTGCCATAGCAGATGCCGATTCCACAGAAGTTGTTCTTCTGCAGCTCCACCTCCCAGTACTGGATCCCTTTCTTGTAGCAGTGCAGGCCCAACACCTGAGAGCAGTACGTGAACCTCTGGGGGTGGGGCCGGTAGTTCTGAGGCACATCGGCCACAGATGCTACAGTATAGGTCTCCAGCAGAGCCACCTTGTTGTGGGCACTGTTGTAGTCCAGGATGACTTTAACAGAATCTGAGAAGACATCATCCCAAGGAATCAATTACGAAGGGCCCACAGTGCTCTCATTTTAAGATCTCCCCTTGCTGGTATTATGTATTTGTCTGTTCTATTCACCCACCCACCCACACTTCTATCCATCCATTAATCCACCCATCCATATGTCTGTCCATGCATCCATTCGTCCATCCACCTATTCACCTGACTACTCATCCACCCATCCATACATTCTTCCATCTGCCCAACCATCCATATATCCACCTACTCATTCATCTATTCATTTATCTGTCAATCTTCCTTGCATCCATCCTTCCATCTGCCCGCCCATATATACATTAGCCCATCCATCTATTCCTGTCTGCTGATCCCTCCATTCACCCATTCTGTTCAGCCAGCCAGCCATCTGTTCATCTATTAGTCACCCACCTGTCTATCCATCTATCCAAAACTATCTCCTGAGCACTAGATTAATGCCAGATTCTGTGCAAGATGCACAATCTCAAACCAGAGTCAAGGTGCCTAGCCACACGGAGCTCACACTCCAGCAAGTGAGGCAAGTCCATCAGCAGCAACTCTTGGAGCCCTGTGCTCTGCTGAAAGGGTGGCACACGCTGTGGGGCCACGGAGATGAGGCATGGGGGCAGGGAGAGCAGCAGGAGCATTGCATGGACAGCCTGGACTCTGGATCATGCAACGAAAGGTAAGAAGAACAGAGAACAGAGGAGAGTGAAAAGCTATTCTGGGAGAACCAGCAGTTAGCGTAATGGCTATGTCGCTGGATTCCCACGTAGTCGACCGTGGTTCACGTCCTGGACCAGGTGGCTTAAAACTCACGCCGGGTGTGTGTGCATGTGTGCCCAAGATCCCAAGAGGAGAATGGAGGAGAAGGGATTGCGGCGTGACCATTCCCCCAGGGGGTGATTTCTCGCTTTCTGTCTGTATGTCTCTCTCTGTCTGTCTGGGGAGCGCACGCGCCCTATAGTGAAAATCTCTCCAAAAAAAAAAAGCTATTCCGGAGTCCAGGGCCAGGGGACCAACCTTGGGGAAGGGGCTGGGACATGGCAAAAGACAGATGCAGGTGAGATGATAATGACTGAGAGAATGAGGAGCCTGTTCCTAGAGTGTCTTCTCTTCTCTGTGAAGAAGGGGGCAGGGGCACACAGGTAACAGCAAGTGGGAAAGTTATATGTGTGGCTCTGGGAGCAGCAGGGACGTTGGCAGAAGAAAAGGAGCAGGACTGCTGGCAACAGGACTACCAGCAATCTGATCTCCACAAGACATCCTGGGGCCAGCAGATGGCTACAGATGCTAGTCCAGAGAAACGGGTGAGCTGGGTTTAAGGAGACAGGACAGCAAGAGAGAGTTTCAAAGAACTAAGCTGGCTAGAAAGGGAGGTGAAGAAAGGCAGGGACTGCCAGGAGAGAGAAAATAAGGTCAACAAAGCAGAGGCCAGGGGAAGGGGAGAGGCTGGCCAAGCAGGCTGCTGGACCTCTGGACAGAGCCAAGGCCAGGAGCTAAGCAGGGCTGCCCCGAGGCGACCGAGGGCCCAGGAACGCACGCCATCACTGAAGCTACTCACACGTCAGGAGCTCGGCTCTGGACTTGGTTAAGAAAGTCTCCAGCACCTTCGCTCTAACAGACGCCGAGTTCGACTCTGAGGTGCTGGCATTGGCTGGTGGGGTGGGGGTGTTGGCTGCGCCTGGAAGAAAACAGCCATTTTCAGGGCAAACTGAGAGTGGACACAACACTTCCCTTGCCCGTAACAACTCACCTGCAGTGCACGACTCTGGTTTTAAATCTACCAGCTGTTCTGGTGCTCCAAAGGTGGGAAGCTTACTGGGGAAGGCAGTGGCAGCTGGGGACAAGGGAGGAGAAATGTGAGTCAGCGACATGGTAACCTGATGGCCTCTCCTCCCTTCCAAGCTGACTGTAAAGAGCCACTTACACACACACACACACACACACACACACACCTGAACAGCCCAGGCATCACAGGGGAGTCCAGACAGGGCGACGGTCCTATGTTATGGCTTCCTCTAAGTTATGATTGAAGTTACTCCTCTTAGTCATTTATCTCTGTCCCCCTGCCCAAGCTCAGGCCCCATCACAGAACCCTTGTGAGAATGTCTAATTTCACCGCCAGATTTTGGTTCTGTGCTCAGACAGTCTGGAGAGACACGAAGACATGCAAATGCATAACTTACGAGGTTTCTTCGGTTTCTTTTCTTCTTCTGAAAAAGAAGGTTTCCAGAATTAAGGTATTTTACACATGTTTTTAAAGAATTATTTATTTAATTTCATTAACTGTCATTCTTTTTTTTTTTTTTCCTTTTTTTTGAAGTTGACCAGAGAGAGAGAGAAGGAAAGTGAGAAAATAAGCTGCCATACCAGGACTCGAACCGCAGCCAGCCATGTGGGAGTCCAGCTGCTTTAACCACCACACCACCTGCTGGCCCCCAGAATTAAAGTTTTTCAAAACACGACAAAGTGACATTTTCAAAAGACCATAAAACATTCATTTGCATGAATCTGACTCATACAAATAAAGTTGATGTTTTCACTTGGAAAATAGAAGGGGTCAACAAGAAAATGAATCTGTCGTCCTGGAAACCAGCATCAGTGGCTGGGGGTGGGGCTGACTCAGAAGGAGCATGAGGGAACTGTTCTGGGGTGATGGGAATCCTTGATCTTTGATTTGGCCAATGGTAACATAGGTATCAGGTGTCACGTTTTATCTAACCGCACACACGTAAGACCTCCGTATCTTACTGTAGGTAAATACTATCTCCATGGGCTGACCCCATAGCCTAGTGGTTAAGGGAGCCACATCCCACTTAGCTGACTGCAGTGCAAGTCTCGGCTTCAATGACTTGAAACACACACCAAGCATACATGCATGCGTGCTCAAAATCCTGACCAGATGGGGAAATGAAGGAGAGCTTGCAACTGGCAACTCCCCAGCAGGGGTGCTTTCTCCCTTTCTTTCTGTCTCTCGTGCTCTCTCTCTGGAACACATATGCACCTTCTGGAAAATAGTAATAATAAAATCTCCATGAAAGGAAGAAAAGCAAACAAAAACAGCTGGGATAGAACTGACGCCACGCTCCAGGATGCTGGGCCACTCAAGAAGGCCGCAGGCCAATGTCCTGAAGTCTTCCTGGGCATGTCAACACAAACCCGCATGCCCCTTACCCAGGCTGAGGCTGGGGCGGGCTATGCAGACTGGTACATCCGCTGTCGGGGCCTCCTGCTAGCTCGCTCTCTCTCTCATGAAATAAATAAGTAACCTTTTCTTAAAAAACAGAAAACAAATAGGAAATCAGCCAAAAAAAAATTTAAAAAGCTCGCTAAGCGTCACCTGGGGACCCGTGGGAAATGCAATGGCCAGGCCCCACCTCAGACCTGCTGAATCAGAAAGTCAGAGGGCGGAGCCCAGCAATTCGAGTTATATAGGCCTCGGACTGATTCCAAAGCACACCCAAGTGAGCTGAAAGACTCCAGGTTCCTCTATGCCACCTTCCCACCCCACTGGAGTAGAGGGGGAGCTCTGCATCTTACTCCCTCCTGCAGGACACCTTCTCCTCCAGAGAAGCCCTGTCCCCTCCTACCACCCTCCACCACTGGCCCTCTGGCTACGTCCAGCCCCTGGCTGCCTCCTCCTCCCCTGCAGTCACATTTAACCTCAGGAGTTGCCTCACTTCATCCGCTCACCCCACCACTCTCTGACCCACATCTTAGACAACAGGCTGCAGGCAATGATGCCAGCCCAACCCATGGGTACCTCCCCCGTGGTCGCCACTCTTGGGATGATCCACACTGACCAGTCCACCCTCTCCTTGCCTATGTCCCCATCTCAAGCTCTATTTTGAGCCACTTTCAATACAAAATTAAATCCCCAAATTTGACTGCCATGATTCCAAAGATTTTCTGGAGTGCCACCTCTCCAGAGAACAGGCCTGCCTGGTGGCCAGAACCACGATGCATTTGTGTGACTGGTGTCTGCAGTCAGGGCAGCGGCAGGGAACTGTCGGGGGAATAGACGTGAGGGGAAGACAGGCCGAGGGTACCTTCCTCTACTCATCCCCTCGGCTTCAGAGTGCCCACAATGGTTTCCAGCTGAGGGAAAGTGTCCCTGCGCCACCTGCACCCCCCACTCAGGGACTGACACCGCATAGCTGACAACCAACTCTAAAAACAGACAAGCCCAGGGACCAGCAGTTAGCGTAATGGCTATGTCGCTGGACTCCCACGTAGTCGACCGTGGTTCACGTCCTGGACCCGGTGGCTTAAAACTCATGCTGGGCGCCTGTGCGTGCGTGCCCAAGATCCCGAGAAGAGAACAGAGAAGGGATTGTGGAGTGGCCATACCCCCTGGGGGGGTGACTTCTCGCTTTCTGTCTCTCTGTCTCTCTGTCTCTCTCTATCTGTCTGGCAAGCGCACGTGCCCTATAGCAAAAACCTCTCCAAAAAAAAATAATAAAACAGACAAGCCCACAGTTGTCTCACTCCTGCAGCACAGTGATGCCCTGACCATCCAAAGTGAGACCTCAGGGAGGCGCTCACAGCTACCATTATCGACCAAGTTTGATGGCCTAGAAAACTGCTGACCAGTCTTCTCCCCTTCCCCAATCAACAGCACACACCATCCCAGTGAGGGTGATATGGCCCCCAGAGTGCAAAAACTGGTTCTTGAGAGAGGGTTACAAATGTTACTCTTGGGGTCAGCAGGTGGCATGGTAGTTACGATGCTTGACTCCCACACGGCCAACTATGGTTCAAGTCCTAGACCTGGTACCTTGAAATTCATGCCAGGTATGTGCATATGTGTGCCCAAAATCCCAAGAGGAGAAAAAGAAGGGATTATGGCATGGCCAACTCCCTGCAAGGTGATTTCTTACTTTCCCTCTCTGTCTCTCCCTGGCAAGTGCACTTGCCCTATGACAAAAACCTAAATAAATGGGGCCAGCAGAAGCCATAGCAGCTAAGTCGCTGGACTTCCACTGTCGTGGGAGCCCCAAACCTGGTGGCTCGGAACTCACGCTGGGTATATGTACGCGCATGCCTAAGGTCACAGGAGGAGAAGGGATTGGGGTGTGGTCATCCCGCTAGGAAGTGATTTCTCACTTTCCGTCTCACTGTTTCTGTCTCTCTCTCTCTCTAGCAGCTGCATGCAACCTGTGGCAAATACCTCAAAAAACTTAAAAAAAAAAAAAAAAAAAGCCAAATTTAATTTAAAAAAATAGTTGGGACCAGCAGGTGGCATGGTGGTTGAGGTGCTGGACTCTGACATGGCCGACTGTGGTTCAGGTCCTGGACCTGGAGGTTTTCTTTCTCACTCTCCTTCTCTCTCTCTCTCTCTCTTTCTCTGCCTCTCGCTGGTCAAACTGAAGAAGAATAATAAATTAATAACACTGAATAAATATATTTTTAAAAATCTTATTCTTTTTATGTATAAACTGCAGTACATAGGTGGCACGTACAATAGGTGTCACTGTATGACACAGAAGCCACTGGAAGGTCTAGGTTTAGATCTCAGGTCAACCCGAACATGCTGGGCCTGGTATCATGTGCCCGGCCTCGGGTGCCCCATGGTCCTGGCTGGCTGGGAGGCTGCGGCAGGGACTGTAGGGTAACAAGACCCTCTCAGGGGCAACTGTCTCAGGTACCTGCCCCCCCACCACCTCATGAAATAAATAAACCTTTAAAAGCACAATGTATAAACCAATGTACAGTATACACGTGCTATTAAAATTTCAAAGAGGGGATTAGGAAACATTTTTCTAAAGTGGCTCAGAAGATGTGGGAAGGCAACAATGTCATAAAGGTTGTGAGGAAGACCAGAGGTTGGCGTAATGGCTATGTCACTGGACTCCCATATAGTCAACCGTGGTTCGAGTCCTGGACCCAGTGGCTTAAACTCACACCGAGCACGTGTGCATATGTGCCCAAGATCCCAAGAGGAGAATGGAGGAGAAGGGATTGCGGCGTGACCATCCCCCCAGGGGGTGATTTCTCACTTTCTGTCTCTGTCTCTCTCTGTCTTTTTAGTGAAGGCACACAACCTATAGCAAAAGTCCCTCCAAAAACAAGTTGTGAGGCACTGCAATGGCAGAAGCCATTACTACTCAAAGGCAGAACGCTACCAAGCCACCAACGAAGTCTGGCCTCTGCTTATCACAACCACCGCCAACCTCCTCCAAGTGCCAGGACTTAGGTACGGCACTTCTCACAACCAGCCGGCTTTAGTCGTCCACTGTTCCAGACAGCCTGAGCACCCGATGCTGAGGACAAGACTGCCCATGTGTCCCAGGAGACTCCTGCAACAGCCCTCAGCACCCCTAGTGTGGGGCCTGGAACCAGTGCTTCTCCAGCTGTGCAGGCTCACAGTGACCTGGGCTGACTGAGCCTGTCTAGAAGGAGCAGCGAGCCCTGGGAGTATCTTAGCCAGGGAACCAGCCAGCGCAGCCCTGCTGTAGCCACGGGGATGGGGCAGGGCTACTTACTGGGAACCTTCTTCGAAGGACGTGTGGTTTTTTGTGTGGGCACAGGGCCATGTTCTTTAGGGTCACCTGTGAAGAAGACGGGGTTGAGGTTAGCCCTAACCCTAATGTAGCCCTTTCCCACCAACCTTGCCATGGGCCGGCAGGCAGAAGGTCTACAGAGAGGCCATTTCCACGGAGATGGAAGCCTCCCCACCTGATCGTTTACAAGAGCTGGAAACCAGGGACTAGAACGACCAGCTGGGTGTGTTCCTTCTTTCCTCTGGCTTAAAATGTGGCCAGAGTCAAGTATTTCCTCTACCAGCCCCCAGCTCTGTGACCTCTAAGACCTCTTGAGCTTCCGTTTCTTCATGCAAACAATGGAGAAACTTCCTCCTACTCCCGCTGGATGTGACCCCTGAGTGAGATCAGGGTGCCTGGCGTGGAGGGGAGGCTCAGCGAACGTTTGTTCCTTTCCCACCTGTTTTTCTCTCCCCTCCTCCTCCTCCTCCTCCTGTGGAACAGTCATCGACAGCTTCGCCCCAACATAGCACAATGGAATACACCCCACCTGCTTTAGAAGCCCCCTGCAGAAACCCCCAGGCCCAAGCAGGAA